TGATATCTAAAGTATGAGAGGTGAAATTGTTCTGGTGCTTAATTTGTTAAGCTATGAAACCATATGGGGGAGTGGAGGTATAGCTCCACCATACTTGACCTCGGCAATAGAAGGAGGAGAGTGGTCAGCTTCACGCCCCGGCCGCTTTACAGCGGGAAAAGGGGGAGTGGTACTCATTGTATAGGAAAGTGGGTGGGTCTCAGAACCAGTCTGGACGCTGCGGAGAAGAGTAAATTCTTGCACTGTCGGATGGAATTTCAATTTGAAAACGATTTTAACATCATGATTTGTGGTGTACTGTGGGGGAATTCGTTTGTTAGAGAGGACCTTGGAATTCTTTGCACAAGGGAAATTATTTAACGATTTGGAGCTAAGCTTTCCTTGTCACTTGCTTCTAGCTGGCCAACCGCTTTACTTGCTCTTCATTCCTGAAGAAGGAGGCAGAATATTTCTCCGAAATGTAGACGAAGTATTTGACTATACAACGTTTTATTTCAGAAGATAGTAATCTTCATACGAACAGGTGTAAGAATCTGAAATCTACTCGTAGACGATTAAATTCACATAAAAAACTAACCAATTTATATCCTTAAGCATTTTTTCTTTGCAAAGGAGATGTGCATTTTCGGCAACATAGGAATTGAATATTTAATCAATATTAAGTGAATATTTCGCCGAAGGAGGTTAAGATTACGGGAGAAAAATGACAACGACAATACACGTAATGGAAGATATCAGAATTCTACGACAGATCATCCGTTTAAATCTAGAACAAAATGGGCCAACTGTGAGAGGAGAATTTGCCAGTACGTAAACTTTGTACATGTTGAAGACTACGCAGTTTAATTTATGAATGAAGAAAGAAAATATTGATGGAAGAAATGGGTGGGTAAACGGTAGAATCTTTATCCCTCAGCACACTGTTTTTCGCCTTAGAGTCCTCATACAAGGACAGTGTCCTGTGCGAAGGAGCAGCTTCTGCATTCACGGTTAAATCAGAGCTGACCAAATTCAAACCACGGAGGGGTCTCATTTTATCACATATAGCTACCTGCCTTTTGTCCATATTTTACCTTACATACCTTACTCTGAGGCCTCATTTTACCTTAGTTAGCTACCTATAGAGGGGTCGCATTTTACCTTGCCTAATATTTACTTAGTGGCCCCATTTTACCTTAGGTAGCTACCTCCATAGTGACCACATTTTACATTAAGTAACTACTTAACTAAGGGCCCCACTTTACTGTAGCTACCTACCAAGGGGCCTCATTTTACCTTACGTAACTACGACTTACATAGGGACCTAATTTTACCTTCTTTTTTTATTGCTAGTGGGGTGGGACTAAGTCCCTTGCACTGCGGCCACTTCTGGCCTATTGTTCCAGCCCCAGATGGTAGGTGAGGGTGATTGTGGAGCAATTGGTGGAATGAAGATTAGCAGGGGAAACCGAAGTACCCGGATAAAACCTGCCCCAGCGCCATTGTGTCCACCACAAATCCCACTTGACCAGACCCGGTATCGAACCCGGGCCGCCGCGGTGAGAAGCCAGTGACTAACCGCTTGAGCTATGGCGCGGCCATTAATTTTACCGTAATGAGCTACCTACCAAGGGGCTGCATTTTACATTACGTAAAAACGGCTTACATAAGGGCCTCGCACAGCGGCGGCCCCGGTTCGATCTTGGATCTGGTCAAGTGGGATTTGTGGTGGACAAAGTGGCGCTTGGGCGGGTTTTTTTCGAGTACTTCGGTTTCCCCTGCCAATCTTCATTCCACCAAATTCTCCATCATCATAATCACGCGGGGCAGGTACAATAGGCCAATCAGTGGCCGCCGTGCCGAGTGGACCCAGCTGGACTCTTCTCCCCACTACATAAGGGCCGCATTTTACATTACGTAACTACAACTTACAGAGGGACCTCATTTTTAATTTGGTTAACTACCTCCAAGGAGCCGCATTTTACATTACGTAACTACGGCTTACATAGGGACCTCATTTTACCCTAGTTAGCTACCCACCCAGGGACAGCATTTCACATTACTTACCTAGGGTCATCGTTTTACTTTAGCTACCTACACAGGGGGCCCATTTTACATTACGTAACTACCTACCTATGGGCCGTGTTTTAAAATATATTTTTAATATAGAGATACAAATGTGTTCCTTGTAATGAGCTCAAGCACACACAAATACATGTATGATAACCGGTTCATAGAGTTCAGTGAGTTTATTTAAATTAAGCAATGCAATTTCACACAGCAGAATGATAAATTTCAATGAATTTGCTTTCGATAAACCAGAGAAAATTCCCACTCTGTATTGCTTTCAATTTTCGCTCTGTTGACAGAAGGTCTCCATTAAAGGTAAGAGGCACAGTTGTCCCTGTGCCTCATTAATAAAGCGCCACCCCATGAAGACATTCGGGGCAGTGGAAATACAACCCCACAATTCTTGATCTCGGGCCACTAAAATTAAATCATTATTCTTCATCGCATGATGTAAACAATTAAACCTTTTCCGATTACACATACTTATCTTTTCAAGGTCGTCATTCTGCTCGGCAACCTGATATGTACGTGTCTAACCGATATTTCATACGTTCATGGAAACGTAGTAACTCCATACGTTCCGAAGTTATTTTATAATGTTGTGTAAAAGAAACTGAAAAATTACACTGAATACTCAAAATTTATTTGTAAGGTTTTCTGGAAACGATTAGCCGCTGCAATGAAGGAGGAAAATCTTAAAAAGTAAGTTGCATGTGTGGCGACTAATGGCTAAGAGGAATAAATGGTTAAGGATCTTTTGGGGAATCGAAAAATACACTCGCGGGTCAGAAGAAAACTATCGCCGATATTTTAGTCGCAAGCATGCCATGAGGTCGACAGCTCTGGAGTAGACAAGTTTAGGTAACATTATTCAAAATGTAAACTGTTTCTCTTACCCCAGTTACTGAGATCATGAGTTCGAATACCTTCGTATTTATGCATTAAGTCCGGGACTTTTCGGCAACCTTCCAAGAAATCCTAAGGAATGTCTTCAAAGAATCGTACCTTCTTATATGTGAAGGTGAAGCTAACCCTGTTAACAGGCTGTGGAGGCCCATAGGGTTGTGAGATGTCGAGGCTCCCTCATTTTTCATACAATCGGCTAACAGATGGCAGTAACAGATGACAAACTTACGCGCCGGTCGCCTTTTACCCCTGAGGAAGATTCCTCTTACTCATTCCTGTTTCACCCCAGGGCCCTAGTGCGGCCGGAAGGATTAGGTCAATTTAAAAATCCATTGACCTCGTCCGGAATCGAAGCCGAGGAAATGTTGTGATTTGAAACAGGTCAGAAAACGTAATTCATGACACTTGAAGAAGAAAAGGAAGAAGAAGAAGCTTAAATCCTGGACGTGTGAGGAAAGGAGGCAGGTTCTTGCGGTTACACAAAACATGTAGAAACGCTAAAACAAAAAACTACGATGGAAATTCAGCTTAATAGCATTTCCAGTATGCACTGTCTTTCTTTTGTGCCACATACGCGACGAAAAGTATGTAAACATGCAACTGATACAGGGAAAGTGTAGCAAATTTTCTTGTTGGCTACGAGTATTTAACGGAGACTTCCGTAACTAGATCACATTGTGTCGAATAGTTGGATGTCAGATAAATGAAAATTTGGAAAGGATTTGGAAGGAAACTGTCGTGGTGTAGTCAAGTTACAATCCAAAATTTTACCTGGAGGAACTAAGAAAAGTCGCTAAAATCATCTGTCAGGATATTCGATGTCCCAGTCGAAACTCAAAGAGATAACCCCCACCCGAAGACGAATCCAGAACGTTAGAGCTACACCAAACCATCCTTTCTTGCTCTCAGTTTGCAGACAATATTTGGTCGGATGGTAGGATGACTCGTGAATGATTAATTGAAAATTATTTGGAATGAAACGCTCTTGTCCTTATCAAGGTACTATCCCAGAATTTTACTGGAGGCGCACAAGTAAACTTCAACAAATTCTCAATCAGGACAGCCGGTTTCGGCTGAGATTCGAAGCAAGCACCTCCCCTATTCAAGTCTTCATTGTTGCCTTTAGACCAGCCACTTCAAAGAATTCACTACAATTTATAGACCCGAAGACTGGGAACACGTTACGTAAGGACACGCAGGAGTTTCCACGTTGTCTCGAGCGTAGCTCACTGAGTGTTTATTGGGCCGAAAATATTATGATAAAACGTTGTAGGTAAACGCTGAACCACATATTGTATGCGCAATGTAAACTTCCCGCAAGTCAGGTTTTAAGAAAACGCGAGGGAATGTATCAAAACTGTTACACCGTACAAACATTTCCCAGTTTGTATTTTGAAGAATAAGAGCCTATTAATGTACCTGAAAATCGGCACGCCTGCCCCAAAGCTAAACATACCGTGGGTCAAGCGACGGTATACTACAACATGAAATGTCCCTACAGGTCGGTAAAACCTCGTGACGCAGACTCAGAGCCTTGTGTTTCCGTTCTCACAAGAAGTGTCACGGACAGGAAGGGCTGGGGTGTAAAATCTTACACTGCTGGTAGCTCCGGAGAGAAAACAGATTCTTGGATATTGACAATCGTGATGCATGGATTTACAGATTCAGTCGATGACGAAGCAAACAGGTAAAATGGGGCTCAATAATTGAAGGCCGATACTAAATCGTTTAATTTGTATAAAATAGTTTCATAGAGGGCAGTGTATAAAGAACGCCATGAGGGGAAGATGAAAGGAAGTTTTGGCCAATTGGGTAAAAAGGGGAAGTTCTTTTGTTGTGAACTTTGTAAATACGCGTACACATTTATACTGGCAGGATTGATGTATGGAACAGGGTCGGGGCAATTTCTCTTCAGGTGGGGGAACCAGAAGGGGGGGTTGGGTGGTGTGGTGGTGGGAAAGGAGGGATGTGTGCACCTCTGAGCAGAGACGGGATCGATTGTGTCTAAAGGAAAAGTCACACGATGACAATACCGGTGTTTACGTTGCATGAGTGATCAACTGTATTAATCCATTTGATATTTATATTGTGACCTGAAGCAGAACTCTGCAGAATGTGAGTAACGTTTTTTAGTATATTGTTATGTGTTTTGGTATTTATCAAAGAGTTGCGATTCAACCTCGTGTAACATCGGCGAACGGTGTGTTTATATATATAAAGGACCCGAATGCTTTACAGGGACAGCTGCTTTCAGTATGATGCCAGAGCCGGTCAGGGCCACATCACCTGCTGCCGCTGTCACTTATCAAGTATCACTGTCATCCCGACTACCTGTTTCATATCCGAATTCGCCGGATCATATTGTCACACTGTCATCAGAAGTGTATAGAAGATCCACAAACAGAAGACGCCTTCTACGGTTTCGTTGTTTCTACGCTTCAACTGTTGCCATTTGACTTGGTGAAGTTTGTTTTATTAAAGATGAACTGTAATAAATGGCTCGACGGTAAAGAGAAATATTAGACAACTGTCAGAGACAAACGTCGTGAAGTTTCAAGAGATGCCAGACCAAGGTCAGTTTGCTGTTATAGATTTAGTGACATATTTGACAGAGATAAAGAAATATATTTGTTAAATGATGCACATATATGTAAGTCTTTTTAAATTAATCAAGATAATGTCACCAACTAGGACTGCTAAATGTAACAAAGTATTATTTTAACAAGTACAGAGTAACAAACTAATACTTATATAAGCAAAACACAATCGGGAGCAAGATGCCGTCATCCACGGGCAGTGGCACCCGTCCGGCGTCTCCTTCACCTGATTCCAGTGTCATTGTGGCCCCAAATCGAAGTCCCAGTACTAACAACAACAAGAAAATCTTTCTTAACAGTACTGCCAACAATGGATTTCTTAGGGTACTGTCAGCAAACAATTCACCAACAGGAGTAACCGAAAATAGTAATGACACTTCGAGGAAAAATTCTTCGACGTCTGAAAAGCATGACGAAGAGTTGCAGCAATTGCTTGGAGTTTGTGGTGATGGTGGTTTTGTTGTCGATCCGGAAACACAACAGAAGCAAGAATTAAGGATAACAGAGAATCCCTTACTGAAGAGGAACCCTGCAGGAAGTCCCATTTCCTTGGCTCTGTCTGATGTTTCGTCTGGCTTGACGCAACCAACAGTAACCACTGTAATCCGTTATGAAGAGCCAACGCCTGGCTGCTGGCTGTCGAGGCGGAAGGCCAACCCCACAAGAAGAACGTCGGTGGAGCGGTACGTCGTTATGGTCGTCGTCCTCCTTTTGATCGCCTGCCTCGGCTTCCTGATCTTCGGTTACCTCCTTCGGCCAGATTGCAGCGATGGTAAGGTTCAGCCTCATATCAACGATTTCAGGATAAAGTGGGCAGTGATTCTCAAGAGTAGATTTCAGATAATTTCACGAATAGAGAAAAACATCCGAAGTAGGATTTGACGGTCTCACAGCGGCCGTTATGAAGATATAAGACCGTATAGTCCGCTGAAAGTTAACAGATGTTTCGGAGGAATATAAAGCTTTCGTCTTCAGGGTCGAAGAATAAACAGAGCAAGATACCAACGTGAAAGTAGGAGGCAAGCAGAGCCGCTTTCAGGCTTCTTTCTCTCACGGCTTATTCATCGGCCCTGAAAATGGAGATGATATTTTCCTCCGAAACATCGGTTGACTTTCAACGGACTACCCGGTGTTATATCCCGGAAGACAGTACACTTCATATCTAACGTAAACGAACTGAAGGTTATATCAAACTCAGGAATAACGGATATTAACCCAAAATACATGAAAGGAGACCAAAATTCATTCCAAGCTCTACTCTTCTGCGTAACTAACACTATAGAACAGAGTTCTTTTTGAAAGTTGAAAGGACATTAGTTGATCTAGAAGTTTGCAGGACTTACGTTAAACGAAGGAGCCGGGATAGCGTAGTCGGTATAGCGACTGACTACGGGTTGGACGACCGAGGGGTCGGAGTTCGAGTCCTGGTAGGGTCAAGAATTCACTTTTCTCCACGTTGCCCAGACCGGCTCTGGGGATCATCCAGCCTCCAATTCAATGGGTACTGGGGGCTCTTTCCCCAGGAGTGAAGCGGCCGGGGTGTGAAATTGACCACTCACGTCCAGCTAGTACCGAGGTCAAGAAAATATGGATCTTTACATCCACTCCCCCATACGCCTTCGTGGCGTAGTGCTTAGTTAAGTACAGAGGTAACTTTAGCTTTTTACATTAAACGAAACAGCTTCTGATTAATTCATTTGGCATTTTTAGCGATTGAATCCCCGTACATACCTTGGAACATCAACATATTAAGGCTGTTGAAAACGGAATGCCATATGTAGGAATGCATTCGAGGGAAATTTCTTTTATCATGAAGAGAAATTGCTTCTTGAGAATCGCTGATCTGTAGGATAATTACATATATTGCTATTTGTATTTATCCCGTGAAATTTCCGCATTATGTGTATATTCATGGTTCGGGTGAATTTTATATGCGTTTCGGCGGATATTTCGGAACATGTCTAGGTTATTCTTTAAGTCATGTCCACTTTGTTGTCTTCTTCAGCATCTAAACTACACGTCAGATTGAATGAAGCCGAGTATGGATTACCTACAATAAATTTTGCATAACTGCTTTGATTTCAGTTCGATTTCGGAGCCATTTCACATAAGAACCAAAGGTAACTTATGGGATTTGAAGATCTCTCAGCGGTACTTACTAATTCTTTCTTCTGGGATATAACGCCGTATAATCCACTGACATACAACTAAAGTTTCGGAAGGAAATGTCACCCTCATCTTCAGCGCCGAATAAGCCAAAAAAGAAATCAGCATAGAACAGGTAGAAAGCAGAGATGTTTTCTTGCTTGACTTATTTTATATCCTGAAGATGGAAGCAAAATATTCTTCCGAAACGTCTGTTGACTCCGCAGATTATACGAATTTATATCCCAAAAGATAAATTTCTTGTAGATTAACTTGTACGAATGCAGGTCAGTTTTTCTGATGATAGATTCTGATTACATTTTAACTGAACAGGCTGGGCTAGGCGTTCTGCTCTAGACTTGGATTCGGGAAGGTCTCTGCTCGAGTCCCGGCAGGAACACATAATAGCCTGACTGGGAATTTCTTTTAAATTGCCAAAGTCCCTCCACGCAAATGCCAGGATGGCACCTGAATTAGGCCACTAATTCTTCGTTCCAGATGCATTCAAATTAATCCCCCATCCTAATATCCGACGCTATATAGAATGTCCCAGGGGCAAAGGTCAGTATTCTGGGAGGTCATTGTCGGCCATTCTAAGGAAAAATTGTATATGTGCATGTTTCCTATTCCGAACGGTTTCCGATATGAGCTATTTCACTTTACACTGTACAGACGAGCAACACGCCATGTCCCCACACGAGTTGCAAAGTGCATTGATGCTGACGGTGAAATTTTCTAAAATGCATTGTACTAGGTAAACTGTACTATCTTTGTCATTTGAACAGTAAGAGTAGGTAATACCTCTTTCTTATCAAAAATTTTGGAACTCTACAGTGAAATACCTGTATTTCAGAAACCGTTAGGAATAGAACACGTGTACATATACAGCTTTTTGCTTAGAATGACCAATACTTNCGGTGAAATTTTCTAAAATGCATTGTACTAGGTAAACTGTACTATCGTTGTCATTTGAACAGTAAATACTGGTATTAGAAAGAGTAGGTAGTACCTCTTTCTTATCAAGAATTTTGGAACTGTACAGTGAAATAGCTGTATTTCGGAAACTGTTCGGAATAGAACACGTGTACATATACAGCTTTTTGCTTAGAATGACTTGTACTATGACCTCCCAGAATAATGATCTTTCCTCCTGGGACACTCTGTATAGTGTTGATGACAGCGCTATTAGACAAGACTTGATGAAGTTTTGTTAACGGAATTTCTGTTATAACAATATTACTGAGTTTAAGGTTAAGTCCCTTTAATACGCCTAATTTACATATGTAAGTAGTGTGCAGTCAACTGAGAGAAACTAGCTGAACGTAAGAATCAAGTGTATGGGCTTTGAGGCGCGTCAGGTTCTAACAAAGATTAGGGCTGAAAAGAAGCAGGTTGCTAAGCTGCAGGCCTCCTCATATTATGTAGCAGACTTAGTACATTTCATAAAGCTTTCTGATTTAGAGAAAAAAGTGTTTAGTAGTATCTACTAAAATGTTTACGAATTTCTGTCTTGTGACGCCATGTAGTTAAGAGTAAGTCCATCGACGTTTCGGAGGAAAGAATCGCTCCTCTTTTCAGGCTTGAAGAGTAGGCCTCTCTTTATGATCCATTGAAGATAATGGTCACGATACGCTTTGCTCTCTTGTAGTTCCTATGTGACTTGTATCAGGTCGGATTTTCTACTTGTAGTTCCCTTTGACATCTGCTTCTTGCTGGTCTCTTGCAAGCCTTATTCCTCGACTCTGAAGAATGAGGCACTATGTTCCTCTGGAACGTCAGTAGACTTATACTGAACTACTTAGTGTTACGACCAAGAAGATTGTAATTTTCATATTTAGGGTTGCGAGAACGTAAAATCCAAAAATATGGCACCTGAATGCCAGAGTATTAAAGCTAGAAGAAACTGTTCGTTGCATGTTTACGGCCGATAAAGAACTCCTTACAGCTGGTTTCCGACGAAACTAACAGGATTGCAACAATAGAAGAAGTGCTGGAAACGATGCTTTCTTCTGGGTCCGCCCCGAGTCTGTGTAGTGTGACCTATCCGGAAAAATTAGTCAGTTGTGGCTCGGAAACCGAGAATGTGACTTGGAGTCGTGGGTTAGACGTGACGCAGGTATCGGACAACGACTGATGAAGACAGAGCAAAATAGAATGACATAACATGTGCTGTAATAATTTGTGAAATGTGGTTATTAGCGAAAGTGCCCTAATTATATGTAGTTACGAGTTCTAAGAGTCTTAATTAATCCATTTACCAATCTAAACTCTGTCTCTAGTCACTGAAAACGTGACAATATCAACGAAGTTGGCTTTGAGGTTATCTCAGCAGCGACTATAAAGAGTTCTACCGTAAGGTATAAAACGCTATCTGTTGATTATCGCCGGACAACATGGCGTTAGATCCCAGAAGATAGAAATCCTCATGTATACGACGTTTAGGACATGGAAAACGTGTTACTGGGTCGGTATCTGTTGGATTTATAACGTATTTCATACTAATCAGCACAGTGATGCTTAAACAGAATATGTTTAAATTCTTATTTTTGTGAGATGGGTAATTGTTGGGAAAATGGCAACTTATAGACTTCGCTCCAATTAAAATACTTGCATATTTTTCAGACCCTCCATTACAATAGAGTTAGAAGCAGTCGGTACACTTTAATATATGACATGATAATGCTAAATTTCAGTACTAAATGGTATTAAAGAGGTTTAATTTAAAATTAAAACATTATTTAGAAGCGGATTATAAAATTAAAATCGTGCTACATTTTAATTTTATTTTTATTTTGACAACAAATTTCCAGCCTTTAACGATAAATCCTCTTACATAAGCTGCAGTTTTCCAAAGAAACTGCTCAACAATAGACGACACCTTGATTTTATTTATGATATTTTAGTTTCTCTACTTTGAGAGTGGAGCTCTTAACTGTTGCGTCCTTTCATGATCACTCACCGGTACAATATAGGTTAAGAATAATCTGAAAATTTGTTGCATAAAACAGCGCACGTGCCTACGTCAGTTGTCTTTCACCAGTCCTTTACTCTTTCAAGCAATTGCGTGCGTCTCTGAACAATTGCGGACGTTCAACCAAAGTGGTCTTACATGTTCTGAGACGCTTTTAGAAACACGCAGGGTTCTAATTGCTGTGCTCTCCTAGATGCTGACGTCATGTGCTTCTGGAAGTGCCCCGTAGTCGTCATATTCCGAGTTACGGAGTTTCAGAATAAATGCCTTACAAAATGTGAAGTTTGAGGTCAACACGGGGAAGACTATGAAGATACCGTGTAGACTGGAGTTTCGGAGGAACCAGTTCCCTCAATTTTCATACCCTGAAGATAGAAACAGGCTATTCTTCCAAAATGTTGGTATCTGCCCGACGGCATGGCGTCACATTCTTTACAGAAAGCAATATTGGGCTTGGAATGCGATTTAAAGTTTGCCGATTTTAAGTTTTCGTGGTGATTCAATGGTGACGTTGATCCTGCTTTTGGTGATTACGCTGCATCCTTTCGGTAAAATTGTACGTAAGGACTCTAAAACGGGGATCTGAAGGACCACAAATTGCTCACAACCGTCGGCCAATATTGTCCTTCCCTCTACATGGCAACCATTTTCCCATC